GTCTCTTTCTTCAATATATGGGATAAGAGGATACTGACTAAGTCTGAGGGGAAGGAGGAGAAAGAAAATTAGCTTCAGGAAGGGTTTATATCCTCCTCTACAAGAAAACTTAAATATAGCTACCAGTGCTTTGAAAGGAATGGTTTATGTCCAAACAGCGTTTTCCAGACAAGCTCTGTACTTTTTTGCCAACAGAATTAACTTTAAACTGAAGGCAGTAGACAATTAAACAAGAGTCGGCACTGGAAACAGCTGTGAGTAGGCAAGACCAAGTTACTTATAAGGTACTGTTTTTTACTCATTGAAATCTTCAGGTTTCATTTCTGTCGGGGACAAGCATTCTGTGGTCATTTAACTTTCTTTTCCCCCCATTTCTCTATTCTGAGAGAAAACACATTCTTTAAAATATTTTAGCTTCTCAGCTGTATTATTTGGGGTTGTTGATGCTTGAAGCTACTAGGATTTTATTTTGTTTTGTGCTCAAGAAACAAATGATTTTTGTTATTTCACTTTACAGCTTAGTTTAGCTTTGTTCCTTTGTTGCATCTGTGATGAGTGGTTTTTATGTTTTATTGTTTGGGTTGGAGAAAGCGGGGTACGCTTTAACATTAAAGAATGTACAGAATGTTCTGGATGGAGGGGGAGGGGCACTGGTTAATACATCTTTAACTTGACATATTGAACCAAAATAGAACCAATCAGATAAGAGGACCCGGACAGGGCAAGTCCGGGCACTTCTACTGAACCTCATTATAGCCTGGTGAATCTAACCTAGAAAACACAATTTTTTGAATTGGGGTTTTACCTTTAGTTTGCTTCTGTATTTAATTGTTATTTTAACTCTTCTTACCCTTCACCCACATGCATTTCTTTTTCAAATCTTTTTTTTATTGTTCTAAAAATATAGATAATGAAACATTTGCCAATTCAATAAAAATTCTAGAAAGTCTGCTTTTTGTTTTTTAAAGCAGTTTATCTTGGTTTAACCTCATTCACCTTCAGGGAACAAAATTCCTACGGAGTGACATTTGCGATAGGCTTTCTGGTCACTGGGCTGTGGAGGAGCTCCTGAAGCAGAACAAAGGGAATAGGCCAAAGTGGCAGCAGAGTGGACAGAAAGGACCCCATTACCCCTGTCATCCGATGTGCCACTCTTTCCCCAGAGGCCTGGCTAGCTAATGTCTGTAGCTTGTCAATAAACAAACAATGAAGACACTTAAGGGGTTCTATAAGTGTATATAGTCTAAAAAGTGAAGCTTACACATTTATCACTAAAAACTCCAAAATTATTAGGAAGGATCTAGCCAAGTATAGATATTTATTTTTCTGAGATCCACTATATATTTTGATACCTATTTGGAGGAGACTAAATTCAACTTAATGTTTTCTGAAGTATTGAGCATCCTCATCATGGTAGCATCTTATAGAATTACTCTACACTTTAATGATTCCTTTGAGGCCTATCCTTTGGTGTGTACAACTAATACTTCTTATGTCCAAACTTCACTTAACCATCATGCTTTTTAAATTCTTGCATTATTTTTATAGGATACTTTTTTTTCTTCTGTATCTACCCTCTCTGGAAGTCCTTTATTTATTTAGTGTCAACAGTGTGCATTTCTTTTAACAAATCTCTTAAATGTCAACTGCTCTGTAATTGATGTCTCTCCTCTGCTATGATCCCAGAAAAGAAAATTTATAATGGATTATGGATGGAATAAGCAGTGGCAAATTTACTGGAGGGCCTAAAGATTTGTTTACGAGAAAACTCCATGTGTCAAAGTGCATGGGCATAGTGACATCTATTTTGGTTACGCAGGAGAATTTTGGCTCATGTCCAAATTTTTAGTTGTGTTCTGTAATAGAGGTTGCCATGGAAGTGGCTCTGGAATAAGTAATGTGTTACTCTATTTGATACAGAAAGTGCTGTTTGTTCTCCTTCTTTATAAAGTTACTGGAGGTATGTGTTAAGGAATCAGTGACTAACCAAACCCCAAGAGATAGATCTAATATTAATCAAGTATTGTTTTTTTTTTTTTTTAAAAATTCACATTTAAACACATGCTGTCCGCATGCATACATAGCTGGGAAATACCATATAATGCTTTGTAGGAAAATAGTATTCATCTTCAAGTTTATGTAATTCTTCTGTGTGGAGTTTATGCTTCAGGGAAAAAAAATGAATAAGACAAGGCTAATTTTCCCAGTGATTTCTTGATTTCCTTAACTTCATTGTCACTTATTTGCAAGTTCTTTTAAGCTGGAAAAATTATAAAGCAATTTTATATACCATGTACAATGGATTAAAAACATATGTTTCCATATCTTCTAATATTTTTATGTCATGCATTTTGGAACAAAATGAATTACATACAGCTCTCTTAAGGGTATGGATAATGATGGAGGCCACTTTTATTCATTTCACTCTATACATATACAATGAAAAATTAAAACTGGATATATCAGATAAACACATGAAGCTATAAACTGAGTCCAGTTTATATTTTAGTCCATTTGTGATTACCTGGCTAAGCAGCTATATTTAGAATTGTGTTATAAGGACTTCTGCATTAGAGTTCTTTCTTTTATTTATTTATTTTTTTAAGTTAAAGTTTTTCAGTGTCACTGTAGATATTTTTCCTGTATGTTATAGCATCTTGTAGTTGTATATGACAGACTATTTCTGTTTAATACAATAAATTAGGGACCTCCTTTGATCTGCAACAATGAACTAGGGATTCTCATATGTTTGGAAGCTTTGTCTAAAAGTGAGATCTCTTGCTTATTTTTTTGCTCCCTAGTCTTTTTAATTAAATAGCATTACTCATTTTAGAATAAAATGTTGTTCCAACTGAAACCAAGTTCTTTTAAATTGAAAATCTTCCAATTTAATCAGTTCAATACAACTATTCTTCACTTGACTGAGCCATTTTTTTAATCAAAATTTAATTTTCACACTCTTACCTAACTAGGCAATCTAACATATGATGTTTTATGAAGGTATGTGTGTGTGTATATATATATATATATATATATATATATATAATAGTAAAAACTATATTATCATAAGGCCTAAACCTAAAACAAAATTCCTGAAAAGTCAATGTCATTATAAATATAGTCTTAAGAAAACTTCAATTTAGAAAGATGCTTTTCAAAACTGGAAAAAGAAGAAAGCACTGAAATATATTAAAGCATGTTCAAGTTTACTGTTAATGCCTTATAAGGTTCCTTCTTAACACAACCTTGTCTGAATTCTCCAGACGCCTCAGATCGCAGCCTCTCATGAAGCAGAGTTCAGTGAGTGAGTTTTATGGTTCCCACAGAGCTATCAAATTTAATGCTATAGTTGTAGATACAGGAAAGTAGTTACTGATATTTCTGAAGTTGTTGAACAGAGGCAGAGGTAATGCTTTGTTCTCATAAAATCCAAATTCCATCAAACTCTCAGAAAATATGCTCAACTGACATAAGTGTGTCTTTATTGACTTTTGTTTAATGTACTATATTGGTGTTTCTAGAAAATTTAAGATTTAAAGATCAATGTGCTGTTTGTACTTATTAATCATGCAATAAATGTTTGCTATGTAAATACAACTTCTAAACCTTAAATTAAAAGGGCATCAGCCAATAAAATACAGGCAGTCCCCAAGTTACAAATGTAGACATCTCCTACTTGCCCTTTAATGTTATATAAATTTGCTTCACTTTAAAATGATTGAACCAGTTCCTACTTAAAACAAAATCTTCATCATAATCCCCTTCATTTGCTGCAAGGCCAGCTTTTAAATCACCGAAAGCGCTTCAAACCTTTTCCTTGCACAAAAGTAAGTCTAAACAAGAACCATATGCACCTGTTCTGACTTACCTAGGAATTCAACTTAAACACACAGGAACAGTTCTGGTTAGTAACCCCGGGACTGCATGTAAAGCTAAAAGTGTTGTTTTACTTCAGGAATATTTTATTACTGGAGTATTTGGTAACCTAGTTTACTGCTGGGTAATCCATCAGGTCATGCTAAAACATGAAAACTTATATAAGTAATAATTCCACAAATTATGAAATTGCTATTAACAAAGAGTAACATGAAACTGTAAATTGTGAAAAACAGCATTCAGATATCTATAACCCATTGCCCTCAAGTAGATTCTGAACCATAGTGAACTTATAAGACAGAGTAGAACTGCCCCATAGAGCTTCCAAAGTTGTAAATCTTTATGGAAGCAGACTGTCTCCGCTTTCTCCCAGGGCGCAGCAGGTGGGTTCAAGCAGCTGATCATTTTGTTAGCAGGCCAATGCTTTAACCACTACGCTACCACAGCTCCTCAGGTATCTATAAACCAAACCAAACTCACTGCCATCTAGATGAGTCCAACTCATAGTGACCCACATTGGGTTTACAAGGTTATAAATCTTTACAGAAGCAGACTGCCCCATCTTTCTTCTGAAGAGGGGCTGGTGGGTTCAAACCAGCAATCTTTTGGTTAACAGTCAAATGCCTTAGCCACTACACCACCAGAGCTCCTTCAGGTATCTATGTCGTTGTTGTTATTGCTAGGTGCTTTCAGATCAGCTCCGACTCATAGTGACCCTATGTACAGCAGAATGAAACACTGCCCACTCATGTACCATCTTCACAGTCCTTTCTATTCTTAAGCCCATCTGCTAAAGGGGCAGTGAGGTGGCATCTTTTGACCTCCTCTAACTACACAATTGGAAAACAGAATCAGCAGCAGCAGCTCAAGGCCTGTTTTTATGAGGCCAGTTGTGCTGTTACCCTCCAGCCCTCTTAGTAACCTTGACAACAACCGTCCCTCTCATGGCACCCACCACCTCTCTGCTGGGTTTGATAATTTGTCGCAGCGGCCACATAGAACTCACAGATTATGGGGTTTATTAGGAAAGGAACAGGCTATGATTCAAGTTCAGGAATGTGTTCAGCCTCTCAGCCACCAGTCTCTCTCAGCTGGCAGTCTCTCTCAGTCTTTCTCTTAGCAGCACGTCTCTCTCAGCTGGCAATCTGAGAGATTTCTTTCTGCCTCTAAGGGAGCTCATTTTAAGCCTGGCAGACTGGCAAAACTAACCAAGCTTAACCTCAGAATTCCACACACCTGAGAGAATGCGAACGTCCCAAAAGATTACTTTGAGCTGCTTCAGCAGAATTACCCCAGATGGATAATTTTAACAATCAGAAGTTCAAATTGCATGGTCCCACCAATCTGGCGGGAGTTACAAAGACAATAGCCAGAAAAGCCGTACCATGTGATTTACTACATTGGACCA